TGTGACTGGCTTAACGTTCCTAGCATGATGTCCTCGACATTTCATCCATGTTGTCACATACTGCAGGATTTCCTTCTTCTCTAAGACAGAAAAAATGTTCCACTGTGTGTGGATACAACATTTTCTTCATTCATTCATCCATTGATGGACACTTAGGTTGTTTCCATGTTTTGGTTATTGCGAATAGGGCTGCAAGGAACACGAGAATCTCTTTGAAATTATAATTTCAATACTTTTGGATGAATACCTGTAAGTGCAATTGCTGAGCCATATTGTAAGTTCTATTTTTCATTTTGAGGGAGAACTTCCATATTATTTTCCATAACATTTGCATCATTTGGCATTCCCAAAACTGTGTGCGAGTGTTCTGATTTCTTCACATCTTCACCAACACTTGCCTTTTGGGATAATAGGCACCCTAAGAGGTATGAGATGATATCTCATTGTGGTTTCCATTTGCATTTCCCTGATGATGACTGACGTGAGCATCTTTTATGTATCTGTTGGCCTTTATATGTCTTCTCTGGAGAAATGTTCCAGTTTAATTGCCAATGGTGGTATGTTGCTAATACAGACCATGTTTTGTAATTTTTGTCACTTGAGTATTTGGATTGTTCACAGCTTTAGTTTTAAGCTATTATTATTAGCTTCTATGAATATTTGTGTACACGTCTTTATGTGGACATATTTTTTGGTTTCTCTTGGTTTGACACCTAGGATTGATTTTGGGTCATACAGCAAGATTATGTTTAACTAAAAAGTTAAAAAGAAATTGTCCAACTGTTTTCCACAGGGTTGAGGCCATTTTATATTCCCATCAGCAATATGTGAGGATCAGTGTGTCTCCACATCCTCACTAACACTTGATATTTTTCTGTCTTTTTTTATTACAGTCATTAGAGTGAGTGTGTAGTGAAATCTCATTGTGCTTTTTTCTTTTTTGTAGTCAAATACACAAAACATAACATATACCATTTAAACCATTTTCAAGTGTTCAGTTCAGTGCTATTAAATACATTCACATTGTTGTGCAACCATCATATCTCTTTATCTTGTAAAACTGAAACTCTATATCCATTAAACAGTGACTCCTCATTCTTTTTTTCTCCTCAGCCCCTAGAAACCACCATTATACTTTCAGTCTTTATGATTTTGACTACTCTAAGTACCTTATCTAAGTAGAATTATACAGTATTGGTCTTTTTATGGATAGCTTATTTCACTTAGCATAATGTCCTCAATCTTCATACATGCTGTAGCATATTGCAGAATTACTTTCCTTTTTAAGGTTGAATAATATTCCATTGTATGTATATACCATATTTTGTTTTTCCATTCATCAGTTGATAGATACTTGAATTGCTTACACTTTTTGGCTATTGTTAATAATGCTGCTAATCACATGGGTGTAAAAACATCTCTTTGGGGTCCTGCTTTCAATTATTTTGAGTATATGCCCAGAAGTGAAACTTCCCCTCCCCTCCATTATGGATAATATGGTAATTCTATTTTTAATTCTTTGAGAAGCTGTCATATTATTTTGCACAGTAGCTGTGCCATTTTACATCCCCACCAATAGTGAACAGGGTTCTAATTTCTCCATATCCTCACCGACACTTTTGTTTTGTTTTAATAATAGTCATCCTAATAGGTGTGAGGTGGTATTTCATTGTAGTTTTGATTTCCATTTCCCTAATGATTAGTGATGTTGAGCATTTTTCATGTGTTTGTTGGTCATTTACATATCTTGTTTAGATAAATTACTATTGAAGACCTTTGCCATTTTTGTTTGTTTATTTGTTGTTGTTGAGTTTTAGGAGTTCATTATATATTCTGGATATTAGTCCCTTATCAGATATAAGATTTCTAAATTTTTTCTCCCATTCTGTGGATTGTCTGTTTATTCTGCTGACAGTGTCTTCTGATGCACAAATTTTAAAAAAAAATTATGAAGTCCATTTGGTCTTTTTTTTTACTTTTGTTGCCTGTACCTTGGTGTCAAATACAGTAAATCTCTGTGAATTCCAGAGTCATGAAGCTTTGGTCCTATGTTTTCTTCTAAGAGTTTTATTGTCTTAAGTCTGACATTTAGGACCTTGATCCATTTTGAGTTAATTCTTGTATATGCATTAGATAAGAGTCCAAATTCATTCATTTGCATGTGGATATCCAATTTTCCCAGCACCGCTTGTTGAAAAGACTATCCTTTTTCCATTGAATTGTTTGAACACCCCTGTCAAAAATCATTTGACCATATATATAGGGGGTTATTTGTGGCTTTCTATAATATTCAGTTGCTCTATATATCTGCTTTATGCCAGTACCACTGTTTTGATTACTGTAGCCTTGAAGTAAATTTTGAAATCAAGGAAGCATGAGTCTTTCAGTTACATTCTTTTTATCAAGATTATTTTGGTTATTCAGTTCCCATTGAGATTCCATATGAATTTTTGGATGGGTTTTCTATTTCTGCAAAAAAAAATCTTTGGTGTTTTGAAAGACATTTCATTGAATTTGTAGTTTGCTTTAGATAGTATGAACGCTTTAACAATATTGTCTTCTAATCCATAAACATGCTTTGTTTTTCCATTTATTTATGTCTTCTTTAATTTCTTTCAGTAAAATTTTGTTATTTTTATTTTACAACTTTCACCTCTTTGGTTAAGTTAATTCCTAAGTATTTTATTCTTTTTGATTATATTCTAAATGGGATTGTTTTTGCAATTTGCTTTCCAAATTGTTTATCGTTTTTACGTATAGAAATGCAACAATTTTTGTGTGTTCACTTTGTATTCTGCTACTTTGCTAAATTCATGTATTAGATCTAACATTTTAAATCAAATTCTTAGGGTTTTCTAAATATAATATCATATCGTCTGCAGAGATAATTTTATATTTTCATTTCCAATTGGATTCCTTTTATTTCTTTTTTCTTGCCTAATTTGTCTAGCTAGAATTTCAAGTACCATGCTGAGTAGAAGAGGTGGAAGCAAACATCCTTGCCTATTCCTGATCTTAGATGAAAAGCTTTCAGTCTTTCCCCATTGAGTATGATGTTCATCTGTCGTTACTGTATTAAGTGTTTATGGTTGTTATATCTTCTTGCTGTATTGAAACTTTTATCAATATATAAGGTCTTTCTTTGTCTCATGTAACCTTTTTTGATTTAAAGTCTACTTGTTGAATATTAGTATAGCTACCCCTGCTTTCTTTTAGTTATTATTTGGAGGGAATATCTTCCTCTATCCTTTCATTTTCAATCTTTTTGTGTCTTTCGGTCTCAAAGGAGTCACTTGTAGATAGCATAGAGTTGGAGCATGTGATTTTATCCATTCTGCCAATCTCTGTCTTTTGATTGGCGAGCTTAATCCATTTACATTTAAAATAATTATTGAGAGACTTCCCTGGTGGTCCAGTGGTTAAGATGCCACGCTCTCAATGCAGGGGGCCTGGGTTCGATCCCTGGTCAGTGAACCAGATCCCGCATGCTGCAACTAAGACCCTGCATGCTGCAACTAAGACTTGGTGCAGCCTAATTAATTAATTAAAATAATTATTGGTAAGGAAGAACTTACTTCTGTCATTGTGCTATTTGATAAGCCTTATAGCTTTCCCCCCTCATTCTTTTAATTACTATCTTCTTTTGTGTTTAGTTGATTTTTTTGTAGTGAAATATTTATATTTCTTTCTCATTTCCTGTGGTATACATTCTATAGCTATTTTCTTTGTGGTTACCATGTAAATTACATTTAATTAACATCCTGAAGTTATAACATTCTAATTTGAATTTATACCAGCTTAACTTTAGTAACGTACAAACTGAACATAAAACAAACTAAAAGAGCAGCTCCATCCTTACCCCTTTTCATTGTTGATCTCACAAAATTACATATTTATATATGTGTGCTCCAAAATGTAAACTAATAATTATTTTAAATGCATTAGCCCCTTAAATTGTGTAGAAAACAGGACTGGTACTTAAAAACTAAAATCACAGCAATATTACGTTTTATACTAATAATTGTTTTCTCTTTTTAAAATGTTATTAGTTTCTTAAATCATGTAGAAAACAAAAAGTGAGTTAACACTATTGTTGTAATATTACCTTCCGCAATTGTCCATGTATTTACCTTTATTGAGATCTTTATTTACCCGTATGGAGAGGTAGAATTTATGGCATCTTTTCCCTATGGTAACATAGTTTCAAGCTGTTAAACATCACTGACATAGTTCATCTTGATAGTGTGTCATGGAGAGATAATGCCAGTTGAGTCTATATTTACCTTCAGATTCCCTCACATTCTTACCCACCACTGTTCTATTTTAAAAGTGGGCTGAATCCTAAAGACTGCTCTTGTAATAGTTGATTTCTGGATGAGTATGGGAGGCTTTGGCAGGAGGTTAGAAGGTGGGAAGAAGGAAGATGCCAAGATATTGCACCCCTCTTTCTCTGCTTGGGGGGACAAGGACTCTGTGATTCCATTGCTTCCTTTCTCATGGACAGACTGGCCTGGGTCTGAGCTTTTGTTGGATGACTCTTACTTCTGAGCACTGGTAATATTGCCTACTTCCATTTTCCCTCCAGCCTTGTAGTGGCCATGTCTTTCTGCTTTTGATTAATGGGTTTTCTCAAGGTCATTTGTTCAGTGTTTAAGTTCAGTATAACCAGTTCTCTGCATTACATTGACTTGTTGCAAATTATTGAAGTCATTTTTCTAGTCAGACACAAACTGATAGAGTTTTTAAAAAATCATTATTTTATATCCTACTTGGTATTAAATTATGGGTCTCTATGTCCCCCTACTTAGAAAAAAAAAATTCCTGTCCAAGTAGTGATGGATTTTTTTTTTAATTTATACTTATTTAGACCAAATCTTTTGGTCTGGAGGTGGCCTTTATCCTGTTGGTTATCACAGGAAAAAAATTTCATTTGTATAATATTTATTTTTTCCTTTAATTTAAATACATATTAATACAACAGTACAATTAAAGTCCCCTACCTTTTTGTCATTCTTTCTCTACTTCTCCTTTAACGACTTCATAGGAGTGTTGAGAAAATTCATGATTTAATCTTGGCCAACAATCTAGAGTTGCAAAGATGAACAAGGAAGCTTTTAAATAAGACTGACACTAATTCTAATTCTTGCAACATGCCTGTGCTTAATATGCTCCACAGTCCCACACAGCTGATTTATTTGGAATCTTTCTGCCTTCTCCAGTGGCAATGAAAGAACTCATCACAATCTTGATTATTTTTGCAAGGTTTTAGAAAACACAATATGTGATAAAATGTAATTTAAACATAATATACCTCTTTCTGGTTGAAACATATTTCTTTCAATCACAGTAAATATTAGACAAAGTAACAGGACTAATTTATTTTTAACAAACCCATACTTTCCCAATATCTATGTTGCTCTTCTAGAAAATGGTATAAAATCAAAGACACTGTTCTTTTTCTTCCCTGCTATAACTTTTGCAATATTAACAGTATGAAATTGCCATCTATGTTCCAAAGGAACTATTAAAAAAAGGAAACCTTAAAGTACTCCCCAAAGAATTTTCCCTGTATTCACCAGTTTGAAATTTTCTTTCCCTGTGGTTAAATATTGAATGTGTTGCTGCTATATAAGAATCATCTTTGTGTTAGTTATTCTAATTATAGATAATCTTCCATATTTTCCAGCACTAAATGCTGGAAATACTTTATTTGACCAGTTAAAATTTTGGGTTACTCAGCAAAAGACTGTTTATAAGGTTGACTGTTCAACTGTACCATCGTCTCATCTTACAAATCAACTTTTAAACTTGAGGCTATCAGATATCATACCTGAGAATGAGAACATATCATTTTTCATTATGCCATTAGATGTTCAAAAGAAATTGAGAAATGATGTAGTTTGGTTAGAAGTCTTATATTTTGTGTCACAAGTTCTGTTTAATGGCTTTTGTGAAGTATTGCTTCAATTCTGTTTCCAAAAAGCAATAAAGCAGAAGTTGTTTTTACAAAGCAGATAGAAAATTGATTCACCAGTGCTGGGCATTTTCCAAGTGTAAAGCAGTATTTCCAAACTGTTACATGTGTAATAATGGCTTTGGTGTTTAAGTAAGCATTTCATTAAATGGGTTGATTTTAGTTCTAAAGCTAGGGCTACAATCACTAAATAATGAAGTGGTCAGAAAGAATCAGTCATGTAATTTTGTGTTAAAAAAAATTCATGTGTGTGTGACTCTACCAACTGAAAAGACAGGCTGAACTGTCATACCTCATCTATTTTTATTTCACAAATTAAGGGTTTATTTAAGTACTTTTTCTTTAAAAACTGTAATAAATGTAATAATGAGTTGTAGTCTCACTTTCAATTATCCATGAGAAGAAAAATAACATAAATCATGACATTTTTTCTCATATTTTCAGATTTAACCATATTTACATTTATTAAAATCTCACTCTTTCTCAGAATTGTTCTTAGCATTTATTGATTTCTAAATCAAATAGCACAAAGCAAAAGATTTCTCACTACTTCTTCCCAATTCTCTAAGTGCAATCCACATTTTTCTATCAACTTTGATAAGAAATCACACATTATAATGAATGATTAATATTCCATTATTTTAAAATTTTCATCAGCTGTCTTCATACTAAAAGGTATGGCAGTTATCTTTAAACAACTCAGAGGCTTGGATTGGCTTTTCAGAAATTGAGAGGTTATTACCTGAGACTTTTGACATTGAACTTTACAAACGTAGGAAACAAACAAAAGTTAAATGAAAGAGAAGCGGGCTTACATTAAAAAAAAATTATAAATATTTGTTTATAATTTTTATGGGCTGTAAGAGAAAAGCCTTTTTTCCCCTAAATCACAGTTCTAGCTCAATAGAACTATAACAGTAACAAAATAAGCATTGGCAATTGGCAATTCAAATTCTGTTCAAACTTTGTGTAACATGGTTCAGCCTAAAATACAATCCAACCCAGAAGTGTGTTACTATTAGGACTGTCTTGTGTTGCACCAGCATTAATACCAGGTATTATTTTAGAAATTTGAAGGAGTGCCTGCTCCCAACAGAAGTGGCTTTGCTCTTTTTTAATGGGAATTGCAAGCACTATCTACTGAAATTTGCCACCTTTTCAGTGTATTGCAACTTGCCAAGCTAAGAAGGGAAAGAGGTTCACTTAAGAAGTTCTGTCTGACTCATTTTTGTTGTTGTTGTTTTTGTTTTTTCTAGAGCACTGGCTTATTTTATTCCTTATTCTTGCTACTCCTCCTCACCCCAACCTGCTCAACCAGTAGGGTCAGGAAAAATGATTCCAGGGGAATAGATATTGTGAAAGTCAAGGTTAAAAAGGGGCAGTGTATACATTGCTTGTAAAGTCTTACCTCATGCTGGGCTCAATTAAGAGAAAAGCAAATTAAGGTGCAGCAGATGAATAAGCATCTTACCTCAAGCATGAGCTCTTCAGTTGAGTAATAAACCCAGTAAGGTGGCATCCTAGAGCCTAAACAAGCCTTGGCAAACATTTTTAAAGTTCTAATACCTATTTTTCTTATTTGGTTTCAATAAATATAAGCCCCCTTTCCTATTACAATTCCTATTCCTGTTTCCTTCACACAAATTTTTGACAGATATTAGTAATTAGAATTTATAAGTTAGCTGACATTGCATATATTTCTCAAATTAAAGTAGATCAACTATAATTTAGAAGATGTCTTAGCTTATTTTCCACATAGTATGACAGAGATTCATCTGGGTTTTGCTTCCAAAGCTGGGCCAGGAGGATTGCCAATATTGATGTCAACTACCAGCACAGACTGGGCATCACCAGAGTAAAGGATTGTATGTGCCTGCACACTTGGGTGGATGCCCTGCCACAAAGGCCTCAAATGTGGCACATTTGGTTTGACTCCAGGCATAGATTCTCCTTCTCTCTGGTAGTGGTAACATCTGCTTATTGGTCCACATTTTCTGAACAGGCTGAGAAATTTTAGTATAATTATCCACCTTTGCCTTAGATTTTTGCGGCCTTTCTTGTGCAGCTCTTTATTTTATTTTGGTGTAATTTACCTTCATCTTTCTTTTTCCCATAGAGAATTTATTTACGAATCTGCATAAGTGCGTTGAAAAGATAGTCAATGATGGGGCATAAGACTTGAGCTCAAAGAATGATGCAGGAAATTGAAAGTATATAAGATATTCAGATAAAGCAGATCAATTAGACTGGCCAAATTAATTACTCTAAAGAATATGTCCTTTTTTCCACATAAAATCCTTTTTCTCACAAGTTCAGAGGTATTTTTTTTCTTAAGATTATGATTTTAGAATGTGAGCAGTTGGTCATGCAGTAAATGATAAACATCCTTTCTTAATTTCCGTTAAATTCAGATCAACAGCATTTTGTCTGGCATATACCTCATGACAGATGCTGATATTATGAAGATAAATTAGCTAAGATCACAACAATGAAGAAGGTGGCAGTTTTGCAGGGTGACAATATGTGAATAAATAAATTGTAACCAATTCTTTGTAGGACATGCTGTAAAACAGGTTATTCACAAATGTTATGACAGTGCTTGATCTAATCAAAATAAAAATGAGTTTAAAAATAAGTGCAGGGCTTCCCTGGTGGCGCAGTGGTTGAGAGTCCGCCTGCCGATTCAGGGGACGCGGGTTCGTGCCCCGGTCCGGGAGGATCTCGTGTGCCGCAGAGCGGCTGGGCCCATGAGCCATGGCCGCTGAGCCTGCACGTCCGGAGCCTGTGCTCCGCAACGGGAGAGGCCACGGCGGTGAGAGGCCCACGTACCGCCTAAAAAAAAAAAAAAATGCAACAGGGAAGAGGATTCTGGGAAGAGAGCAGAGTAGAAAGTACCAGGAATCTGTCTCCCGATCTAGACAACAATTGCTCTGGTAGAATCTATCTGACATAACTACTTTGGAACTCTGGAGTCTATAGAAGGTTTTCAGCTTTCCAAGAAAGGATTGGATGGTAAACTGTAGTTAATTTCATCCAATTTCAGGTCTCAGCATAGTAGCAGCTACCCAAATGCTACCGACAGTCCCATGGCACACATAGCAGCTGTGTGTGCATTCCAGGAGCAGTTTGCACACAGCTTAAGAGAGCCAATGTGAACAAAAAAGATTCTGTCCTCCAAATATTGGGAATCTGTGCTCTGCTTGCTGAATTCTGCTTCTCATAATGGAGATGCAGGCAAGTTGTGGCAGTCAGTGTTGTTACACCTTACCCCATTGTTGCTACACTTTACCTGGTTATTACAAGCCCCACCTCCTCTACCTGAATTGACTTCCAGGGGATTTAAGAGTTGGCACACTCTCCCTCCTCTTAATTTTTCTTATTCTACTTGTGGAGCCAGATATTAAAAACTAAGACATCAAAAACAAATGCATAGAGATTTCCCTGGTGGTGCAGTGGTTAAGAATCCTCCTGCTAATGCAGGGGTCATGGTTCAAGCCCTCATACGGGAAGATCCCACATGCCGCGGAGCAACTAAGCCTGTGTGCCACAACTACTGAAGCCTGCACACCTAGAGCCCGTGCTGCACAACAAGAGAAGCCACTGTAATGAGAAGCCCGTGCACCGACACAAAGAGTAGCCCCTGCTCACTGCAACTAGAGAAAGCCCGTGAACAGCAACGAAGACCCAATGCAGCCAAAAATAAATAAATAAATTTATATATATTAAAAAAAAATACATATACAGGAGAAATTAGAAAATTACCTGAGAAGACCTTAAGTTTACACCTCAGCCTGATTCTCCATATAGAGGTAGCTATAGCAATCAAAAAACAAACAAAAAAAAAAAACAGAAAGTATCAAACCATTGTGGAGGAGGAGAATCTGATTTCCAGAATTGCTACACTATTAGATTTGAATGTTCAGTTTTCAGCTAAAAAATTGTAAGACCTACACTGAAACAGGAAAAATGGCCCATTCAATGGAAAAGGATAAAAATCAACAGAAACTGCCCCTGAAAAAGACCTGATGGAATATCTAGTAGGCAAGGAATTTAAAACAACTGTCTTAAATGCTTAAAGAAATAAAAATGTTGATAAAGTCAGGAAAACAA